AATTAGATGACACTTCTTAAAGCACGGTAAAGAAGACTATCCAAGGGGTGGAGGTGCTATTGAGATAGGCATATGGACCACTGCAAAGGGATTTTACAGTGAGGGAGAGATATTTGGCTCAACTCCAAACATAGCATGGGCAGGTGGGAATTTATAACCAAGGAGTAAGGTGGGGGCAGGGTGGGGGGCAGTGGGTGGATGGAAGATTACTAAGGGGAAACAAGGATAGGAGGGATTCTGCCCAAACCCACTTAACAGGATTCTTGCTAAGGCCAGGCCAAGGTAATCAGACATCCCCTGGGGGATGGTAGAGGATAAGGAACCTGATTAGATTCAGGCATAATCAGGTAGCAAGGCTGGGGATTCTGGGTAAACTGGGTGCTTAGCAGGGTTCTTGCTAAAACTGGGTTTTACAAGGATGTGCACAGATGGGCAGAGGAGTGGGTCAGGAGCCTGAATACATTTTGATCAAGCAAAGAGTCTTTGTCATACCTAAAAGATAATGTCTCCAAGATCTCTGGATAAATACAAGACCCTTTTTCTCTGGTTGCCTGGTTCTTGGCTTCCTACTGTCTCCTCACCCTTCCCTTACCTATATTAGAGTTCGGCTTCGGTTATCACAGTTCTACAACTCCTCAGCCACATCTGTGCAGACCCTCTCTGGGGTATTTTCTACAGATGGTTCAGATAAGTACTGACAGCAGCAAGTGGGGGAACCTTTCTTTGAGATGGAAGACAGGGGAGGAAGAGAGTATCTGCTGCTATATAAACAGCAGTACCCAGCAGACGGTTGAATATGGATATCTGGAACTCTAGTGAAAGTGATTGGCTGGAAATAAGCATCTGTGAATTATTAGCTTACAGTTTGCAGTTGAATCCATGGGGGTAGGAGAGAAAAACCAGAGAGAGTGGAGAGTAAGGAGAAGATCAAGAACAGGCACTTGAGATAATCAGCATTTAAGGAGCGATCAGAGAAAACTGACAAGGAGGTCAGAGAATGGGAAGGAAGAGAGTTTCCAGAAGGAGATAGGCCAACACTGTGACATTCAACAGAGTGGTCAAATAACATGTCTGAAAAGAGCTCTGAATTTGGCACTGGTGGGAAGTCAATGACAACCTTTGAGAGGGAAGTGTTGGCACAGAGGTGGGGGACAGAGGCTAGGGATGGAGGCAGCAATTGCTACTTACTCTCTCAGGGAGTTTGACTATAAGAGAAAAAGAAACTAAAAGCAGTAGCAAAGGGAATTGCTGAAGTAACTGCCAGGAGGAAGGGAGAGGGTAGTAAGCAGGGTAACCAGCTCACAGAACAAATTAAATGGGACAGGAACAGATTTGCAATATCATCAGTCTGAACAATTGAATAATTTCCTCCAGTATTGCTCAAACATTTAGTTGTAAGAACAGGCAGGTAGATCAAAAGGAAAGTGTTCTTCAGATGAATTCTGCAATGGCTACAGTGGCTGGTGACTATCCTGTTGATCAGCACAAATATAGAACATTTCCATCATTGCAGAGAAGCCTTTTGGAAAGCACTGCGCTACAGGGTCTAAACTGGATAGAGCTGAGGTCTTGATGAAGTAAAAGAACAAATGTTGGTGGAGTAATAAAGAGCAAATCTTGGAGGAAGATATCTTGCGGACAGAGATAGGTACATTGAGGTTTAAGATTTTAGGGGCAGAGCTGTTCTTGGTGAAAAGGTTCAGGGTTATGCCATGGGAGAGGAGCTGCTGAACTAGCCTGTGGATAGAGATTTTTGAAATGGAAAAGCCCAAAGAACTTTGAAACCAGGTTGTTGGTGAACTTATCCATGCTGAAGTAGCTCAAATTGATAGTAATGGTTGGTTGGAAAGAAGAACCTTACAACTACTGCCAAAATCTTCAGTGAACAAAGAAGTAATGACAAATGATTAGTAGCTAAAAGCAGTGAGAGAGGTGGGCACCTCAAAATGGGAAGGATGTTGTTGCTCAAGTTCCTTGTGAAGTGTGCTAAAACAAGCAGTGACTGAGGACAAAGGGTGTCCTTTAGGTAGGGCCAGATTTCAATGAAAGCATAACCTTGGGGGAAACATTTGATGGAGAGGCTGAAGATGCAGAGGAGTTTATTACAATGGAATGAGATTTGAAGGAAGTTTAGTAAAAGAAGAAAAATCTATGAGTACAGATAACCATAGTAACATGAGAAAAAGATGGTTCTTGAATGTCTAAGACGTGCATGTGGGGTAGTGGCCAGGGAAGACTGAAGTCCCAGGGGTAGTCAGAGATCTCATAAGGTTAGAAGACTACAGTTTTTGTGTGACATTCAAACAGTATATTGCTAAGGAACAAACTTGTCTATCTGATTAGGGAGGTGTCTAGATGGACCTTGTATGCCTAGCTCCTGACATCATCATAGCAACCAGTTATAACTAGACCCAGACCTTTTCTATTAACCAAGTCCTGGGCAAGGGAGAGAATCTCGATGCATACCCACCAATGGAGTCCCAGTGAGTTCAGTAGCTGGGTGACCTAAGATGTGGAGTCATCACAGGGGAGGCCTGAAGCTGCCTAGACCCTGAGCTAAATCTTCCCCATGTCATCAGAAATTAGCATGTGTACTATGTATAGCTCTGAGTGATGTCATGGAAGGCAGTGGTTGGTGAGGAACTATAGAGTACAAACTACGAAATACTTTCAGTTCCACTCGAAATGGACCTCAGAGTGATTTCCACCCCAGAGTGAAGGGAGAAGGAGGAGGGACAGATAGGAACAAATTTTTCCTATCATTACCTTCTCTGTTCTACTCTGGAGACAGAGGTAGAGACACTCTCCTGCAGCTTCTCAGACTGAGCTATTGTTAAAATTCAGATTCTGACTCAGCAGGTGTGGTGGGGGAGGGGCAGAGATTTCACATTTCTGACCAGCCCCCTGGTGATGCTCATGCCTTTAGAACACAGATCACACTTTTGATTGGTAGGTGAGGAGGGGGACAGTCAGATGGGTGTAAGGGAAAGCCCGTATAATGTTTGGGAGGGGGGACCCGAGTCAGAGAATTTAGACCGGTCTGTTAATGGAAAGAATGGGTGGGAAGGAGAGACGATACTGTGAGGTTCTGCAGAGAAACAGTCCTAAATCAAGGAGAGAGAAGAAGCCAAAGGCGAAGTCATTTCTGGGCCCAGTAGGCAATAACATAACATTGACCGTTAACTGGCAGAATTTTCAACTATGAGTTTGGTTTCTCCCTTAGGTCATCTACCCTAAAACCAGAATGAGTTTCCCCAGAGATAGAGCTGCTAGAAGTTTTTACAGCAGGTGGCACTCTTACATTATCGTTCGGAATTTAGCAAAGAAGCAGCAGGAGTCCCAGGATCGCCTTGTAAGGCAATTGCTGAATACAGTAAATCTTCCTCAGGTTCCCCTTTCACAGTTCCAGGTACTCAGGTAAATTTTCCCACCACCCTCCAGTTGGAAACACATCCTGTACATATGCTGCATTTTATATCTGCCAAGTGCTTGAACACAATGCAATAGGCAGACTTGTGCTGACTCTCACAGGTGCCTGAGTCCTCTGCCCTTAGAATTCAAACCACCACCAACCCTCCTGATTATGTGTTCTCACTCTGTGGGCAGTTCAGTTTTGCCAAGTGCATGTCACTGTTATCTGTCCTACTCCCTCTGAGCAGAGAAACCCATTGATCAGATCAATTTACTTTCTTCTACCGCCGTCAAAGACACCTCAAAGGAACGCCTCTCATCTCTCTCCCCAACCTACCGCCTCTTCCCCCCGTAATGTCAACAACTCTTCACTGAAGTCTGGAATGAGGAAGCTTTATTCAAAACCCACCCTAACATGGTCCCCATGGCAGCATTTAACTTTATATTAACTAAGAAACAGCATTTCCCACTAACCCTGCACTTCTCACCCACCACTACTTAATTTCTTGGCCAACTCTCAAGTAATTCTGTGACCCAGAATAGGTCCCACAAAACCCTATAATCGATCACATTTAAGGAGCTAGGTGGCACACATCCCTTCCACAAACTTCAGTATGTGCTCAGGGGTGAAAGCCTTCCGCTGAACTCTCCCAGCATGTCCTCCAGGAGTTGTAAAAATTTCCAGTGGCAATGCATACTGGGAAGAGCAAATGTCTCGTACCTGGGGTTTCCCCAATACTCCAAGAGCACATCCTCACCTTCTTATCTATGATTCATTTCCAGCATTTCATTCATGCACCTTAAATTGTCTTTGACCACCACAATGCCAAAACAACCAACAGAAGGCCCAGTTCTCCTTCTGATCCCTGAAAGAGCTTAGAGAGGTCACTGAAAATAGAGGCTTTGGTTGGCTGTGTCATTTCCAAACTGTTTTACATCCTTGGGCAAGCTGGCCATGGAAGCAGCATTCATGAGGAAAACTCTATAAAGGGAACTATTTGAATTTCAAAGATATTACTCAAGGTGATACCCAACTAGTAAAGCATAATGAGGGGGGCGGATATTAAATTTGTTACCATTATCAGAAATCTTTTCACTATAGAGGGGCAAGGAATAAGGGGATGGGGAGGGGAAGGGAGAGCTTTTGGTGATGGTGTAGAAGTAATGGAGCTTGAAACAGCTACAGTGAATAGAATCAGTGTTCAGGTTATAGGAAGGTTAACAGATGGGTGGATGCATTGTCTAACTCTGCTGTTTTTCCCTGGTCTGGGATTTAAATTCACAGAACCATAGGACTAGAAAGATTCTTGGAACACTTAGTCCACCCCTTCATTAAACTGATAAGGAAACTGAGCCTCATGGTGGTTGCAGTTTGCACAAAGGCCCACATTTATTTATCAGTGGAATGAGGACAAAAGTCCCATTCTCCAGATGCCAGTATGTAGGCACATTCCAGAGTTTAATACCTAGTTCTTCAGTATCATTACTGATAAGATAGCATCCGGGTATTGTATAAAGAGAAACGGAGTTGTTTTTTTTCTTCTTCCTTCTTGTTTCTCCTTCCCTAATCTCTACCTCTCCTTTTTTAGGTGCTGCTTCCATGAAGAGTCAAGCATATTTCAACGAGACTGGAGAACTGCCATGCCATTTTACAAACTCTCAAAACATAAGCCTGGATGAGTTGGTAGTATTTTGGCAGGACCAGAATAAGCTGGTTCTGTATGAGCTATTCAGAGGCAAAGAGAACCCTCAAAATGTTCATCCCAAGTATAAAGGCCGCACAAGCTTTGACAAGGACAATTGGACCCTGAAACTCCACAACATTCAGATCAAGGACAAGGGCTCATATCAATGTTTCGTTCATTTTAAAGGGCCCAAAGGACTAGTTCCCATGTACCACATGAGTTCTGACCTATCAGTGCTTGGTATGTAGTCAATGGCACGTTCAGATCCCTGGCCTTCTCAGATGAGACTGCTATGAGCAGAGAAATGTGGGGGGGGGGGGGGGGGGGGTGGCGAGGGAGTGGGAGGGTTTTGGGTGGTACCTGTAGAGAGAAGGCAGGAGACAGCCATTTCTGGGAAGTCCATTTGAAGGGAATGCAGGGTTTGGTGATAGGGAACTGAAAATCCTTTGTACTTTTTATAGTTTGCTTTTGAAGGATCAGTAAGAATTTGCTTTGGGGACAACTTAGGGCTAACTGAACAAAGTTGATGTGGCTAAGGGAAAACCACGGGTAATTTGGCCATTACTAAGTTTACGTAACTATACAGGCCTCAGATCTCTTTTACATTCATTTTTTTTCCTTTGGTCCAAGATTTCTCACCCACTAAATCTTTGCCTAGAGCTCCTAGCAAAGGTGACAGCTGATTGATTTGGGTTTTTCCTACAACCTCCTGGAGGTCACTTATGAACTGTTTGGGGCCCAACCAAGAGCCCGGTAGACAGAAGGGAAATAACCCAGCACATATAATCCCAAAACTGACAAATCAGCTCCTCTTTTTTTCCAGGCCTTGAAAGGCCTAAATATCACTACAGACTTTTTTTTATTATAATGCAGTAAAATTATTTTTTATTTTGATGCACAGTTCTGTTAATATACGTATAGATTTATGTAACCACCACTATAAATAGGATACAAACATTTCCATCACCCTAAAAAAATTTCTTCATGCTATTGCTTCATAATCATACCCTCTCCATACCCAGAAGCCCTGTTTTGAATCCTACAGTCTTATCTTTTTTTAGAACATCACATAAATGGAGCCAAACAGTGTGTAATCTTTTAAGATTGGCTTCTCTTTTTTTTTTTTTTTTAAAGATTTTATTTATCTATCTGACGGAGAGAAACACAGCAAGAGAGGGAACACAAGCAGGGGGAGTGGGAGAGGGAGAAGCAGGCTTCCCGCAGAGCAGGGAGCCTGATGCAGGGCTTGATTCCAGGACCCTGGGATCATGACCTGAGCCGAAGGCAGACTCTTAACAACTGAGCCACCCAGACACCCCAAGATTGGCTTCTTTTATTTAACATAATGCCTTTGAGACTTACCTAAGTTGTTGCATGTATCAGAAGCCTGTTCCTTGTTATTGCTAAGGAGGATTCTATTTTATCCACTCAACCCATGGAAAGACATTGGGATTTTTTTCAGTTTGGGGCTATTATAAATAGCTGCTGTAAACATGTGCAGGTGTGAACATAAGTTTTCATTTCTCTAAGGTAGATACCCAGTGTAGGATTACTAGATTCAGATTAACTTCTGATGAAACTGGAAAAGGCAGATCAACAGTGATTCTGAAACCACAGAATAAAGAAAACGCAAAAATAGAAATAGAATGAGGAGTCCTCCCTTTAAGCCTTGTGTGATTCAAACTAGGCTGCAAGAGTTTTGGAACATTTTACCAAGTGATAAATAAGTGTTTTTAAGGTATGGCCAGATACCATTGAAGAACATGGTGTGTTTTAGGTGGGTCACGATCATTTTTTTATTTTAACAATTTTATATTTATTTTAATGTATTAGGAAAAACAATAACTAACTTATCCAACCTGTGATTTCACAGATATTGTTAAGGAGGCCAAAGGAGGTAGCACCATGGCAATCTACTTTCTACAGACCACACAAAATACAAGCAGAGTACTTAAGTAATGTGTTGATACAGCAAAACTTAGAAAGGTGACATGCAAATCACTGGTTTTAGAAACAATAAAGTAAATTAGAAATTAGTATGTAGAACCTGAAAACTACAGTAACTATTGAAGAACAACAGATTTTGGCTAGCAGAAGGCGCTAGGTGCAGTGATCCTTGACAGCCATTAAAATCTGAATGGCAAACTAAGGCGAGAGAAGCTCTATGTTTATCAAGATCTCACATTTTCCCTAAAAATGGCTGGGTTTGGCCTTCTTCTTATAGTACGTAATGAAGAAAGCTTGACAGTCATGCCCAAAACCAATATTCTGAATTTCTAAATCCAAAGTCCCCATCCACTCACTTATCAGTATCCTGCTCAGGTTTCTAGAAGATATGGCCCAGAGCATGCCAGCACCATGAACTCTGTTAGTGTCAGTCCCTTTCTGCTTCCTTAGTCTGGCAAGCTGCAATGTACCCCATGACACAGCTGGGTTCCAACGTCAGGCTACTTCTCCATCCCAAAACTACACTCCTCAGAACAATGGTCTCATTGTGAATCTTTAGTGACTCAATTTCAGCCCTCCTGTTACTCAGAAAGCACCCCCCACCCTGATTTGGGTAAGAAGGAAATAAGCATGGTCCAAAACTCCATTCTTGAAAAATACATGTGGGGTCCTTATGTGGCTCTCACCATGGGCTGAGGCCCACACTTTAGATACCCAAGAGGCTCCCAAGTGTGCCCCCAGTAAGTTCCCAGATCAGAGCCAGTTATTTGCAGTTCTCTTCTAGACACTCTTCTAGACACATCTAAATTTAGACTGATTTCTTTTTTTGTATCTTTATTCTGCTTTCAGCTAACTTCAGTCAACCTGAAATAATGGTAACTTCTAATAGAACAGAAAATTCTGGCATCATAAATTTGACGTGTTCATCTGTACAAGGTTACCCAGAACCTAAGGAAATGTATTTTAAGCTAAAAACCGAGAATTCAACTACTAAGTATGATACTGCCATGAAGAAATCTCAAAATAATGTCACAGAACTATACAGCGTTTCTATCAGCTTGTCTTTTTCAGTCCCTGAAGCAAGCAATGTGAGCATCACCTGTGTCCTGCAACTTGAGTCAATGGAGCTTCACTCCCTACCTTACAATATAGGTAAAGCTGCTTCCCAAGACTATTTCTTTCATCAGGTGTTATACCCAAAATGTTGAGGCAGATCATTCAATGTTCCCTGCTTGCCAAGAAGCCTCCAACAGGGCCATTTTGTGGTACTATTAGGAAGGAACCAGATGGAGGGCTCCTCTGAGTGCTGCTACAGGGTCCCAGAGACTGTGAACTTATATTGCACTTAAGGAAGTATGCTCTTAGCCCTGAAACTGACCCAGTCTTTTGGGCTACCTTTGGATAGAATATTCTGAAGTTTAAGTCAGAAAATGCAAGATTCCTCCAGGCTAGAATTCTTCCATTCATACACATACCACACCCACCCACCCACACACATACACATCATCATCATCATCATCATCATCATCATCTATACATACATACATACATACATACATACATACGGTACATGCTCTGAGTACAGAGCCACTCTAGATGTTGTTGGCTGCAGACATGAAACCTAAAATGTATAAGACATGCTCTCTGCCCTCAAGTATCTTCCAATAAAATCAGAAGTCCATGATGTACACACATGAAAAACTGGATTTTAAAAAGATTGAATTGGGATCTAAAGCATATCCCATGGAAATATGCAACTAAATTTAAAAACAAGAGAGAATGGTAATCAGTTTTATAGACATTTGGAGGTAGGTAGGTTCCTTGAGAGCCAGGGAAGTCTTCCTAAAGAAAATGGGACCTTAAAACACCATAAAAGATAACTGGGCTTTAAAAGTACAGTGAAGGGGTGCCTGGATGGCTCAGTCGTTTAAGTGTCTGCCTTTGGCTCAGGTCATGATCTCAGGGTCCTGAGGTCGGGCCCCATGTCCAGCTCCCTGCTCAGCCAGAGAATCTGCTTCTCCCTCTCTTTCTGCTCCTACCCCCACTCATGCTCTCTCTCTCTCGCTCGCTTGCTCACTCTCAAATAAATAAATAAAATCTTTTTAAAAAGTAAAAAATATAAAAGTATGGTGAAGAGATGACAGGTGTCAGACTTGTGGTTTCCTGAACAGAAAGAAAAAATTCTCAGACAGCATCCAGGCTTAGAAGGTGAGAGGACCAAAATCAATTAACAGTATTTGATATGGGCACAGGTGGTGATGGTGGGCATATGTGTCAAGGAAAGACTAAGAAGCAGAAATTCTTGTGGCATGTTGACAGTGTAGTATAGGGTCCAGTTCAGCTGGAGGAAAGGGTTGAAACTAAGCAGTGTCTGCTAAAAGAAGTCTAACATTTTCAAGTCCTGGCTTTGCCCTGGGGAAAATGCATCCATGTTTGAGACCCCACTTTTGAGGAGCAGTAACTGCAAGATTCTCCCCTGGAATAAAGACACTCTGCACCCACATCGCCCCTATCCCTGCTTCTTCTGATCCTGACCCCCCCTCTTCCCACACATCTACCTTCTGCTTACCTTGGCCCCTTCTCCAATTCTGGCCCTTTGGTTTTTCCTTTCCTAAGGCATCCATCCAACTCCTTGCTTCATCCTCTAACCTTGCTGCTTCCTTTCTCCTGCTGTCTCATTGTTCCAACATGACTCGGTCTATGGACACATTCATATGGGCAGCCCCTGGAGCCAGTCCCTCTCAGTAAGCTTTACCAGTGGGCCAATCCCTTCTCTTGGTACCGATTGCCTTCTGCTAAGACATATCTCTGCCTCTGAGAACCCAGTAAATAGGCCACACAGAAGCCTGGTTGCTTCCACTGTAGCCTCTCTTGGCCTAATAGAAACCTCTCTTTCAAAAAAAAAAAAAAAGAAGAAGAAGCAGCCTCTCTCAAGCTATCCCTGAGGCTCAGCACCTGTGTGGAGCGAGCAACACCACTGCACATGACAGGCCTTGGGGCCTTCTGTCATGGCTCCCACAGTCTACAAATGAATAGGGCCTTGCCATTCCTGTAGCTTCATCACGGCTCCCCCTTTCTGCTCGTCCTCGACTACTGCCCAAACCTTCCCAGCTGCCACCATCTTCAGAAACATTTCAGCTCCAGCTGCCTCAGGAAGCCAGGGCTTGCCTCTCTCTATCCCTCTTCTACAGCTTGACCAGAGATAGTGTTGACCCTGAATCAAGGAATCTTTTTGGGTATCAAGAGGTAGCATTCTCCATGTTATCAAGTATAACCCCCGTTTACTGGGAATGTTAAACAGGCTCCAGTGGTATAAACCCAGGACAGACTCAAAAATTGTTGAATGTGGGTTGCAATGCAGCAACTCCTTTTCCCAATGTCCCAGGAATGGGGTATGTGTCTACAAACTGCAGCTAAACTAATAGGTCAGCTGGTATTATTTTCCTGTAATTTGAGATTAACTATCAGAATGAGTCCCATAAATGTCTATAAAATGGGCCACTCAGTTCTAAGCTTTCCCCTCAAAGTCTATTTTTCAACTTCCTGGAAACTTAGAAGTCTCCAGGCAAGGAAGAAAGTCCTGACCTCCCAAGAGCTGATTCTAACCCTGCTTCCTCAGGGCACAAAGAGATATCGAATGTATCAAAGATACATTCTGAAAGCCCTGTTTCTTCCACTGTGGCCTCAGTGGGGAAAAAAAAAAAAAAAAGCAAAACTGGAGGTAGGCAGCTGTTATATTTGTCCAAATGAGGTGTGTCTGAAGCCTGATCTAGAGATGATAGTGGATGGAGAAATTATTACAAGGGAAACTTCAGGACTCCAGGCCTGGCTATACATGGGCTGAGGGAGCAGGGTGTACAGATGACTATACATTCAAAGTTTCAGCATGGCTACCATACCCATATGCAGAACTAAGGGCCAGGTTGACTTTCTTCTTCTAGATCATAGTCATTGTCACCCCACCTCTAGGAAGGGAAGGCAGCTTGGTCCAGGCTTTTGGCCAGAAGCACTGGCTTGGTTCTAAGCGGCTAAGGGCCTAAGCCTGGGACTTTCTATGGCCTCATATTGTGGATTTCAGGCTCCTCTGGCAGTAGAGCCCTGGGGAGAGGCTGACTTGTAAATGAAGACAACAGTAATTATAAACCTTTTATAATCGATCTTCCTGGCTGATTAAAAACTTGTGGTCATTTCTAGATGCACATACGAAACCCCCCCCTGCCCGAGACCCCATCCTCTGGATTGCAGCTGTACTTATAATGTTGGTCATTTTGTGTGGGATGGTGTTGGTGCCCTTTCTAACACTAAGGAAAAGGAAGAAGAAGCAGCCTGGCCCCTCTCATGAATGTGGTGAGTCAGTGCTTGTCCCCTCTGCAGATTGCCATTTTGCAGCTGCCTCCGGTCAGCTGCCTTCTGGAGCTCATTGGCTGAGCTCAGATTAGCAAAAAGTCAGCAAGTGGTTGGAGGAAAAGGTTTTCCCTCAGGTTTGGAGCCTGTATGGATGGGACTCAACATTGTTCTCAATTTCTAGGAGAGGCAACATTTCTAAACTAAGGTCTACAAATGTACTTCTGGTTTCCAGACAAAACTGATTATTCCTTGCTTTAGCTACCTCATTTCATGAAGTTACTGTGAAAATTCAATGAAGTAAAATCATGAAAATACTTCTAAATGTTAATGACTATGGACCTGGCAGTGTTCAAGCAGGGAAGCTTGGGGGGGTCGGAGGGGAGGATTAGATGACCATAAGATTTACTTCCATTACTCTAAAAGTCTAGGTTTCTGAGAAAAAAAGTGGGATGAATTGTTCCCCATTGACTTTTTAAAAATAATACTAACTTTTATTGATTACCAAGTATAACACACCCATTACCAAATATGCTGAAAAAAAAATCTATAGTACCACTAGTAAGAAAGAAATGGTTATACAGACAACATTTTGGTTTATATCTTCCAGATTTTTCTGGAATCTATGTTGTTTTCCATAAGTGGAATAATACTATAAAGACTGTTTTTCATAGTTTAGATAATACCATATGTACTGTTTTTTAATTTATTTGTACTAAACATAGTAAGAAAATTTTCAGTGTCACTAATTATCATTCTATAGCAACATTTTAAATGGCTGTGAGATATTCCATTTTGTGGATACACCTTAATTTATTTAACCAACTCCACATTCTAGGACAGTTAAGCTGTTCCCGTAGTTTTGCTATTATAAATAGCACTGCACTGAGCAGCCTCCTCATTGACTTGTGTAAAAGTGGCACTGTGCTTAATGGGGGACAAAGGGGTCCCTGACTTTATAATAATCTTATGCTTCTTTGTGGTGTAGGCTGGTTTGGGCGAAGTTGCAGTGTAAGGTTGGATTTTATCTCAGTAATGGCTGTAGCAGAAGTTTGGTTGGTGCTTATAATTAAGGTAACCTTCTTACTCGCTTTGGTAAAAAGCACCAGATGAGTAATGCTTCTGATGAGCATCTTATTTAAGATTTCGGTGTACTGATTTTAAGATCCACTAGAAAATAGATGGATGACAGTAACAGTCACTCATTTCATCCTGCTGTATTTTAAAAACAAGAAATTGGGGAGTTGATTATCCAGTTTCAAGAAATGAATACAAAGCTTATGGTAGAGTCATATTCAAACTGCCAAAACATAGAAATAGATTTCTATGATATAAAGGTGTAAAATTCAGAGCACAGGGCCAGATGTACAGATATATTGTGCTTATTGAAGCTTTGACTTTTCAGGGTGAGAATTATGAGCTGTTTCTTTCAATCTCATTGCCATTTAGAATTAGGTAACTATGCAGGAGCACCTTCAGCTTGGAAATAAGCTGTTTCCTAATTTGCTTTCAATTGGAATGATTAGCTTACAAATGAAACAAAGAATAAGGGGTGGAGAAAAAGAGAGGAAGAATGTTTCTTCCCCCAAGAGGCAATCAGAAAAATTCAGGAGACAAGAGAGTTAAAGATGTGTGTGTACACATGAAAGAAGCTGAAAAGGGGTTCAAGAAGCTTGCGTATGCATAGGAAATGGTCAAATTAAGCTATGAGTGGTAAAAGGCAAACTATAACAAGACACTATAACATAAGACCTCCTCCCCACAAGAATGTGATAAAGAATATTGCTAGGAAAGTTTGGTCAGATGGTCACCTGTGCTAGTGAGTTTGGTCAAAGAGAAGAGTCTTAATATCATTGGAGGAGAAGATGTACCAAGTAACCATGCCATGTAGATATGTTTGTAAATTTGGGTTCTGTAATTCAGCAATGTCTGCACTTGCTTTGTGGATACTTCTGGCATTTTCTGTATGACAGACTGCATAATGCCCCCAACAAGATGTCCGCCTCCTATTCACAGAACCTATTATATGTTACCTCACACGGCAAAAGGGACTTTGCATATGTGCTTAAGGTACTGACTTTAAGATGATAAGATTATCCTGGATTACCCAGGTGAACCCCATCTAATCACATGAGTCAGAGCACCTTTCCCAGGCTGGGTTAAAGAAATGAGATGGAAGGAGGAGAGATCCACATCTTGAGACAGACTTAACCCACCATTGTTAGCTTTGAAGATGGAGGAAGGGGCCATGAGACAAGGAATGTGGGTGACCTCCAGAATCTGCAACTGGCCCTCAGCTGAGAGCCAGCAAGGAAATGGGGATCTCAGTCATACAACCAAAAGGAACTAAATTCTGCTAAAAAACAGACATGGAAGCAGTCATGATCCATCCACAGAGACACAAGCTTACTGATAACAAGTAGGAATTTCTCCAAAAATGGAGCTTCCCCCAATCCAATATTAATCCGTTTCTCAGAGGAGGCAGCCCTCAAACTAACTTGGCATCAAAAGTCCTTTCCAGGATTTGTTTGGTAATTACAGTTTTTCAAAGCCCCAACCATCCACGTTTACTCTGTTCAGGCTGTTAAATGAATAAAAGGGAAATGCCACCATTATTCTAGCTGGTTTCTAGTCTCTCTTCTCGTTTTTGATTTGTCAAATAGGACAGATTAGGTATGAGAAATTGTAACCTTGAATTACAGTCCTTTCCCAGTCAGAAGTTACCCTATCAACTTACCCATCAGGGAGAGAGACTAAAATAGCTCCTCCTGAAGTTTTACTTCCTCATTTGGGTCTTGTGTGACTGAAATCTGTATGTAATAGCGCCCTACCAACCAACAGTTTTTACAGTTTGCTGCCCTCTACCAAACCTGGAAGAGTCTCTGCTCTTTCAGGAATGATTTTTTAAAGGCCAAGTGTCTTTTCTAAAATAAATAATTTTAACCACTATTTAGACAGAAACCTTCACAGGACTTAAAAACTGTAAGTTGATGATATCATCACATCTGGCCTTCAAAATGCTAAATTTGTAATCAAATCCACAAATTTAGAATCTGCTTTTTTATTGTCTGCTTTCATTTTAAAACAGAAACTTTTTTTGAAATGGTGATGATTTTGTCATGGGTATGAAAGGACAATGTAAATATTCTATGTTGGTCTATGGACTTCTGAAATACTATATTTAGTTATAAGTAAGCATTTTTTTTGCATTGAACTATTTTTCTTATTTTATTGTTATGTTAATCACTATACATTACATCATTAGTTTTTGATGTAGTGTTCCATGATTCATTGTTTGCATATAACACCCAGTGCTCCATTCAATACGTGCCCTCTTTAATACCCATCACCAGGCTAACCCATCCCCCAGCCACCTCCCCTCTAGACCCCTCAGTTTGTTTCTCAGAGTCCATAGTCTCTCATGGTTCGTCTCTCCCTCCGATTTTCCCTCCTTCATTTTTCCCTTCCTACTATCTTCTTTTTTTTAACATATAATGTATGATTCGTTTCAGAGGTACAGGTCTGTGATTCAACAGTCTTACACAATTCACAGCACTCACCATAGCACATACCCTCCCCAATGTCTATCACCCAGCCACCCCATCCCTCCCACCCCCCACCACTCCAGCAACCCTCAATTTGTTTCTTGAGATTAAGAATTCCTCATATCAGTGAGATCATATGATACATGTCTTTCTTTGATTGACTTATTTTGCTCAGCATAATACCCTCCAGTTCCATCCACGTCGTTGCAAATGGCAAGATTTCATTCCTTTTGATGGCTGCATAATATTCCATTGTATATATATATACCACATCTTCTTTATCCATTCATTTGTTGATGGACATCTTGACTCCACAGTTTGGCTATTGTGGACATTGCTGCTATAAACATCGGGGTGCACGTATCCCTTCGGAACCCTACATTTCTATCTTTGGGGTAAATACCCAGTAGTGCAATTGCTGGGTCGTATGGTAGCTCTATTTTCAACTTTTTGAGGAACCTCCATACTGTTTTCCAGAGTGGCTGCACCAGCTTGCATTCCCACCAACAGTGTAGGAGGATTCCCCTTTCTCCACATCCCCACCGACATCTGTTGTTTCCTGTTAAGTAAGCATTTTTTAAGAGCAACTTTGAAAAAAATAGAACCTAACCAGATTTTAAAGTATCTAGAAGCTCAGTCAAATAATAGTTCAAGTAACTGAGAATGCATAGCCAGAAAAGAAGTCTTGGGGAGAAGAAAAAGTGTTCTCTTCAAATATCCGAAGAGCTGCCATAGGGTACAAAGATCTTACTTAACTGTGACTCCAAAGGGCATCTCAGTGCATGAATGTTATGAGAAGATGTAAAGAAATAAGACTGAGTTTTCCAACAGCTAAGACTCTTTTAAAATTATATAGAAGACAAGAACTTCTTCCTCCCATGAAGGATTAGCTACTAGAGGAATGTCCCTCCTACTGAAAACAACTAGAAATCAGACAAAATATGAAACAACTGTTTTCAGACATTGGACAATAAGCTGTAGAAAATTGTAGCCCCTGAAAGAAGAAAAAAGATGAGGTAAATTGGGATTGCCCCCAATTTACTGCCTGAAGTCAGTTTCCAGGCTGCCCTAAAAGTAGGGGGAGCCCTGATACCAAAACTGGAAAAAGACATTACAAGAAAAGAACACTATACCTATATCTTGTGAAAATAGATGTCAAATTCCTTAACAAAATTACCAACTAAAATCTAGCAATCTGTTAAAAGTATGATACATCACGATCAAGTGGGGTTTATTCCAAGAATATAAGCTAGGTTCAATATACAAAACTCAAGAATAAAATTCACCATACTGGCAAACCAAAAAGAAAAAACATATAATCATATCAGCGGATACAAAAAAAGCATTTAACAAAATTAATATTCATTCATAATTTTAAAAAAGAAAGAAAAACTCTCATAAAAGTAGGAATATAGAGGAATTTCCTCAATCTAACAAAGGACATATACCAAAATCCTTCAGTTAGCATCATATTTAATGATAAAAGACTGACTGCTTTCCCCATAAGATCAGGAATGAACACTCACTACATTTCTTCAACATTGTACTGGAGGTCCTAGCCAGTGCAACAGTCTAGGAAAAAAATAAAAGGCATTCATATTGGAAGGGAAGAAGTAAAACTTTTTTTTCTATAGATAACATGACCATGTTTGTAGAAAAACCTAAGGCAGCCATACAAAACTATTAGAACTAATTGTGTGGGCTCCTGGGTGGTTCAGTCGGTTGAGTGTTTGCCTTTGGCTCAGGACATGATCCCAGGGTCCTAGGATTGAGTCCCACATCAGGCTCTCTGCTCAGCGGGGAACCTGCTTCTCCCTCTGCCTCTGCCTGCCACTCCCCCTGCTTGTGCTCTCTCTCTCTCTCTGTCATATAAATAAATTTTAAAAAATATTAAAAAAAAAAAACAACTAATTGCCTGTAGCTAAGTCTCCAGATACAAGGTCAATACACAAAATCAAAATCAGTTATATTTCATGAAAAAATTGCCATTCTTTCCTTGAAAGAATGGGATCAAAATAATAAAAACACAGATCTTAGTATATAAAAGCAACACATTTACAAAAGAAATTCGCATATCTTAAGTAAATGGCTAGGAAAGTCAAAAATATATTCAGCCCTTCAAATTTCCCTCCCTTCCCCTATGGTCCTCCGTGCTATTGCTTATGTTCCATATATGAGTGAAACCATATGATAATTGTACTATACAGTGGCTAACTGAACATAATAAATATATATATACATATTCAGCCTCCTTCCTAATAAAATAGTTGCAAATTTAAAAAAATCAGTTATATTTCTATATACTCACAACAAACCATTTGGACACTGAAAAAAGTTTTAAATACCATTTATAGTAACATCAAATAATATTAAAAGCTTGGGAGTAAGTTTTTAAAAAACAAGTAAAAGACCTACACACTAAAAACTAAAAGACATCACTATTGACAGAAATTAAAGTAGGCCTAAATAAATGGAGAACTATAACATGTTCATGGATCTGAGGAGTACCTATTAAGATATCAATTCAGCCCAGGGGTGCCTGGATGGCTCAGTCTGTTAAGTACCTTCAGCTCAAGTCATGATCTCAGGGTCCTGGGATCTAACCCTGAGTCTGGCTCTCAGGCTCCCCGCTCAGTGGGAGTTGCTTTTTCCTCTCCCCCTCCCCCTCCCCCCTGCTTCTTCTCTCTCTCTCTCTCTTTCTCTCAAATAAATAAATACAATCTTTTAAAAAATTATATCAATTCAGCCCAAACTGATCTATGGATTCAGTGAGATACCAATCAAAATCCTGGCAGGCTCTTCAGTGTAAATTAAAAAGCTAATTCTGAAAGTTCTATGGAAACGCAAAAGACAGACAACTGCCAAACAATTCTGAAAAACAAGATCAAACACAGACAACTTATACTACCTTATTTCAAAGTTTACTATATAGCTAAAGTAATCAAGACAGTGTGATACTGGTGAAAGCACAGACATACCAACCAATGGAACAAGATGGATAATCAGAAAGTAAACTCACATGGTCAACTGATTTGGACAGAGGAGTCAAGGTAATTCCATGCAGAAAAGGATAGTCTTTTTGACCATGGTTTTGGGACAATTAGATATCCACATGGAAAAATATAAACCTCGACACACAAAAAATAACTTGAAATGGACAATAGACCTAAAAACAAGAGCTAAAATTAAAAGACTTAAAAAATTGGAGAAAATCTTTGTGACCTTAGGTTAAGCAGATCTTAGACAGGACACAGTAAGCACAAAGCATAGCATAAAAAGTAAAAATTGATAAACTTCATCAAAATTAAAAACTTTTGCCCTTTGACTTTGTTAAGAAAATTAAACGTCAAGCCAGCCACAGACTCGGAGAAAATGTTTGCAAAATGTATCTCTCAAAAGGACTTATATCCATAATATATAATTATATATTACTACCCAGTACAGAAGACAATCCATTTAACAAAAGGCTGGGAGCAAAAGATTTGAACACATACTTCATAGAAGAAAATACACAAATGGCCAATAAGCACCGTCCCACAATCACAACACCATTAGTCATTACGGAAATACGAGTTAAAGCTATAATGAGATACCACTACATACCCACTAACATGACTAAAATTAAAAGGACTGGTAAATATCAAGTGCTAGAGAGGATGTGACACAATTGAAATTTTCATGTACTGCTGCACAACCCAGGAATCTTAGATATTTGCCCATGAGAAATAAAAACATATGTCCTCACAAAAAGACACACAAACGTTCATAGCAGCTTTCTTCATAATACTGAAAGTCTGGCATCCTAAATTTTCCTCATTTGGTGAATGGATAAACAAATGGTGGTATATTCATACAAGAAAATACTGCTGAGCTATAGAAAAGAATAGACTACTGGTAACATGCAACAACATGGATGAATTTCAAAAGCAGTATGCTACCTCCATACTGTTTTCAAGAATGGCTGCACCAGCTTGCATTCCCACCAACAGTATAAGAGGGTTCCCCTTTCTCTGCTTCCTTGTCAACATCTGTTGTTTCCTGTGTTGTTAATTTTAGCCACTCTGAATGTTGTGAGGTGGTATCTCATTGTGGTTTTGATTTCTATTTCCCTGATGATGAGTGATGTTGAGCATTTTTTCATGTGTCTCTTGGCTATTTGTACGTATTCTTTGGAGAAATGTTTGTTCATGTCTTCTGCCCATTTCTTGACTGGATTATTTGTCTTTTGGGTGTTGAGTTTGATAAGTTAAAATAGATCTTGGATACTAGTCCTTTGGAGATATCCAGCCTAGAAGAGGACAATCAATCAAAATGATTTTTCTTTGTAAATATTAAATCCAGAATTACATTAGAACATCAAATATCAAACATAAAATTAATAACTAAATTTTCCCTGAAGAATAGAACAGGAGATGGTGCATTTTCTGAGCATTTTGTCTAAATTTGTAATGTAGTTGTGTCTTGTTTTGTGTTACCAATAGGTTTTAAACTTGTATAAATCAGAAACATTTAGAATTTTCTAAAACACTTCATTAAAGTATCTTTATGGTGAAAAAAAAAAAAAAAGCAGTATGCTAGGAGAAAGACACCAGGCACAAAAAGACCAAGGACCACACATTTATGATCATTTAGAATTTAAAATTCTCAAAAATGCGAAACTATTGTGACATTAACCAGATCAGTAGTTATCAGCGGGTGGGGTAGGGGAAAGATACTGACTGAAAGGGGGCAGGAGGGAACTTTTGGGGCTTATATAAATGTTCTATATCTTGGTGATGGTGGTAGTTACATGAGTGTATACATTTGCTAAACACACCAAAATCTGTTCAGAAAATTTTTGGATTTTATTGTGTATTAATTATACCTCAATAAAGGTGATTATTTTTAAACACACACACACACACACACGTGCACACACCTGAGAACTGCCAATGATAGCAAGTGTTCGAAACCATCAAGGGTGTTGTTTCACTCCCTAAAGTCCTACACGGACACCCAGGTTAACAACCCCTGCTGCAAGTGCCCAAAAGCACGATCACAACAGTCAACTGAAAGGAATTTAAACCCCAAGTTGCAACAGTGATAAGCCCATACCAACAGCAACTCAGGCTTTGGGAGGTCTAGCTAGTTAGAGATTTCCCACTTGGGCCCATCCATACCACACTGGTATGTACCAGCAGACTCATCCATTTAGGTATCAACATCTCCAAGGTTTCCTTTTCTTCCTCCTTCTAAACCTTACTTTCAGAAAAGGATTGAAAACTTTTTCAATCACTAAATGATTGCTAAAACTAAGTTTGTTACCCCTCCCACCAGTATTTTTATTTTAGTAAAGAATAGACCTGTAAGTGAAAAACCTATTTCCAACATTAGAACTTAAGACACAGTGAATAAAGGAAGGCATTTGCTTTTTGGATGCAAAAAAACTCCTCAGTTGCATCAAGTAAGCATCTATTTCCACATATAAGGATACAGTGATTTCTCTCTGAGTCCTAGGACTTTGGATTCTCTTCAAACTTTCTGTCTTTTACTATCTACAGGCAATACATTTTCTGAAGTTGTTTTGGTCTCTTTCAGAAACGAACAAGGTGGAGAGAAAAGAGAGTGAACAGAACAAGAAAAGGTGAGTCCTGACCTTCCAACATTGCTGAAAGAGGTACCATCTCCAGCGGATTTATAACTTCACCATCAGTTAAGTCTGAGGCATGCTGAGACCTCAGCAAACATGAACTAATGGAGAGGAAAAGGAAAGTTAGTATCTGGAAGGAAATATTCTAGCTATAAATGGATGGCAGGATGTCCAATGCACAATGCTCAAGGGGCACGGCAAGCTGAGTCAAGGCAAAGTAAAAAATTAATACAAAAGGGTCTGTGTCATGTGCATGAGCTTTATATTATTCACCAGTAATTATTCATGGTAACCCCAGTACCTATCATGGTGCCTGGACTAGTAGGAGTCCTACATGTGTGGAATGAATAAATAAATAAGTGAGGATTGATAACATGTTCCCTTTAGCTTCAGTGTCTTTGCACCTGCTGTGTCCTCTGCTTGGAATGTTTTTCTGCCACTTCTTTATCTCATTCTTCAGATCTTGGTTCAAGCTGCACTTCTACAAAAAACCAACCCTTTCTTAGAGTATGTTAGTCTGTTATTGTCATATGGATCCCTGTGCTTTTTTTTTCATAACACCAGGTAATACTTACCTTTTTGTGTAATTACTTATTAAACTATGAACTATACCAAACTTTATAGAGGGTAGAGATCATATCAGTTAAGCTTATCTTTGTATTGCCAGCACCTAACACAGTGCCTGGCATATAGTAGGTGCTCAATAAAGTTTTTTTCTATTGTGAAATTGTAGCAGCAGATATTTTTAATTCATAGAAAGTAGCCTTTTTATAATACTAACAACTTTCTCTAGTTATAATTTCATGGCATCTATTGGTTTACAGATAATAGGACTTATTCATAAAATTTACACTGTCATGATTTGATAAATATATAACATGTTGAAAAAGAGTTTCATGGAAATGGAAATGCTATTCATCAGGGTTTAGCTTCTCTTACATTTGCTTTCAGCTGAGCAATATTATAATTTGTTTGATTTTTATTTATTTTTCATTTATTTGCTTACTTTCCAGATTCTTTACCTAATCAAATCCAAATAAGCAACCCTAAATATGGCACAGGGGAAATGTGTATGTCTTTCTCTTTATATTCTCTTTTGTCCACATACTAGGGGCTACAGAAGACAAAATGTGGTGAGGTGCTTTTTTTAAGAGTTCACGTTTTCAGTTGTTTTTAAATTCAATTTATTCAAACTAAAAACAAAAAAAGTTCACCCATTCTCCCACCCCTCATCCCCCACTTCTGGCAACCACCAATCTCTTCTCTGTGTCTATGAGGTGGGTTTTTATTATTTATTTTTAGATTCCATATATAAGAGAGATCATACGGTGTTTGTCTCTGTCTGACTTACTTCCCTTATCATAATGCTCTCAAGGTCCTTCGGTGATGTCACAAATGGCAAAATCTCATTCATTTTTATGGCTGAATCATAATTCCATTATATGTGTATACCACAATTTCTTTATCCATTCATCTATCAATGGACACTTAGGTTGTTTCCATACCTTGGTTATTGTAATAAATAATTGTTGAACGAATGAATGTATGCATGAAGGAATACATAAAGATTCCTGGTCATCAGTTGTTTCACAACGTGATGAAATCAGATTATCTGTATCTCCATCCTCCCCAAGGAACAGGGATCTCAAGAATATATCAGGGCTCTGGCCACACAGTCATAGGGTCAGGCAATCCTAAGTCAAAAGCCTGGTCACAAAGATACAGTCATAAGCCCAGGGTTAACAGCCCCAGAGTGCCCAGCATCTACCCAAATACGCATGCTGCTGTGAGGCCAGGCATCCTGGATGGTGAGCGCAGGTGCTGAGTTCTTGCCTGCCCTCTTAGACTCAGTTCAGGTATGGTCCAGAAGAGCTTGCAGGGAGAAGGCAGCAAGTAATCAACATATGGCAGGGGCAGGTCCAGTCAAAAATAAAGGTACGTTAATTGAAGGAAGCATGAACAGCACATCTCTACCTCTCTCTTCAACAGTTTGTTTCTCCTTGTTGCTATTTCAATGGCTCCCTGTATTCTGCCCTATCACTGAAATCTAGAAAAAGAAAGTGGCTCTATTGCAAAATCTCACCCAATTCCTTTTCTGTTGTTGTTTTTCCAGAGTACAATACCATGTACCTGAAAGATCTGATGAAGCTCAGTGTGTTAACATTTCGGAGACAACTTCAGGCGACAAAAGTACTACACATTTTTAATTAAAGAGTAAAGTCCATATGACCATCCGTTGTTTATATGCCTTCGCTTTCAAATTTTGGCTTACATTTTTTCTTGTCCATTAATATTATTATTACCATTAATAATAGCAGGGGCTCCAGGACTCCTTGTAAGTGAGATGACCTCCCTATAATGCCAGTTCTGCTCCCTATGCCAGGAGCAGATTTTAACTGCTTCTTTTCATTTTGGAGCACACTTGTAGGCCAAGCTCACCTGACTGGTTCCTGGCTCAGGACTAATGTTTAAGACTAACACCTCCTGTTTCAGATTCAGCCTTCTTTTCTTAATTTTATAAATTGTGTTTTATGTAGAACTCCCAGTTACTGGAATAATGGCTTTTATCTATGCTTAATTCTAAAACAGCACCTCATTCCATCTTGTATATTTGTGACTACCTCTTCAGTCTGGGTGGGAGTTATGTATGTTATGGCTTTATAGTGTTGTTATTAATATTTTGAAACATAAAGAGATGTGTACTATAATAATGTAATTACTATGCCCTGAGAAAATTTACCCACTTCTTTGTGAGGGTCAGTAGGAAAATGGTGGCTTGGTGTGCTGACAACAATGAGCAGACCAACTCAAAATTTGGAAAATTAGGTATGATGGAGATAGAACCAGCTTTGAATCCTGGAGCCACTTCTATCTGGGCTGCTGCTAATCTGAGGAGGATCCACCTGCCCAACAAGCTATTGATAAGCCTTAGCAGAGAGCACTGTGTAAAGCAGGAAAGCACTATGCACTGTGAACCCTACTTCTCTTCTTGAAAGAAGTGACTGAGATGATGGTCCAGGGCAATTGTTCAAGAGCCAACATGAGAGATCACAATACTCAAAAGAGAGAAAGAAAGAAAAAAAAGGGAAAGCTCTTGACCGACAGAGATGCACATGAATGTCCTATCTGTCCAGCCCTCTAGCAAGCAAAAGGTGAACAGGCTGTCCAAAAGAACTTCAGACAGACAGCACCTTCCCTGGTGGTTGGTGAGAAGTCTGGATAATACTCAAGTTACCGTGATGCTCCATCTGGCTGGAGGCAGAGCTGGGAGGGAGAGCTATCATCTTGATAACGGGATAAACGGAAGGAGGCTTAGGATTCTTTCAACTCATGGCTGAGAAAGAAGGAGCTAGAGTGAAATTAGTAGGACCAAGATGCAAATCATCCAGAGGCCAACATAGTTGGCAGGTGTCCTAGGAAGGGATCAGCTGGCTCAGAGCAGGGCTTGCAAATTTGTGTCTGATACTGTCTATGTCATTCTCAACGATGGGAAAACTGGATGCACAAGAGGACTATGCTAGCCCAGTAGAAATGAGTCAGGTGACCCTGGCTCTAAAGCAGCATCACTAATGGATGGAGCAGCCTCAGTCCAAACCGAGAGAGAACTTTGGGAGGTCCAACACACAGAAATATTTCTTCTTATTCTACAAAAAGGAACCTAGAAGATTGTAGACAGTTGTGCTAGCCATGCTTACCTTGTAATATTACCATTCGTGTGACGTGCCCTGCCTCTGCCTTCATTAAGCCAAGGCATCTTGTTGGTTCCTAACATGTTTTATACAGTGAGCTCTTAATAAATTTTTCTTAAATTGATTTAAAAGTCTCCATTTTCTGCTTTACTTCAACAGCACTACTCAACTCTCGTAGTCCGACATTACTTCCTTTGTCCTCCTAATGTACTTCCTCCCTCTTAATGTCTCCATGGAAGCTTCATTCTCCAGTCACCCTGGCTAGATGCCTCTGACTCATCCCAAACTCTCTCCTTTTCCCTTTTCTCTTAACCATTATATAAGAAAGGGGGGCTTATATGATTCTAAATGTTTATCTCAGTTATGAGACATAAAAAAATCAAGCAAACAAGGTCCTTTCTGAGGACAACTGTGAAATTTGGAGTTAAGAAAGCGATACTTGCTTTTCAGTTTGTAACTTTTTATATTCTGTAATTTTAAATTATGTGCTCATATGTACATTAAACAAAAACTTAATGTAAAATATTCCTTAAAATACCTTGATTATAAAATGAATGCATATAACTATATTGTATATTTCTAAAGTTGCCAAGAGAGTAAATCTTAGAAGTTCTCATCACAAGAAAAAAAAATTTGTACCTATGTGTGGTGATAGATGTTAATAAAACTTATTGTGTCAATCATTTCACAATATATACATATATCAAATTATTATGTTGTACACCTAAAATTAGTACAATGTTATATGCCTATTATACTCCAACTAAAAATAAATAAATAAATGCATATATATATGCACTTAGCATATATTGCTACATGTAGCATATATATATATATATATATGGCATGTGAGAAGACCCAGGAAAAATCTGGAAGAAAGAAAATTCCAGGCTCTGTGAGGGCAACAATATGTCCTATGAATCCTGGGCACCTAAGAGTACCTAAAAGCTATTTGTTCAAAGATTGAATGAAGCATTAATGTGCCCTCTGGTGAAAACATCCCTCCTTTGTATGTTAAATTCTCTAGATTTTCTATGTTCCAAATCTGGGGAAAGAAAAGCCAAGGAAAGTTAAGAGGTCATTAAGTATAATAACAGTACTAGTTAACATTCCTGGTACTCACCTTGTATCAGGGACTCTTCTAAACTGTTAAATTCATTAACCCATTTATTCCTCACAATGACCCTGTGATGTAGATATGTGGATAGTATGACCATTTTGCTGATGAGGAAACCTAGACATGGACAGGTCAAAGCGATTAACCCAAGGTCACTAGCTTAATGACAGAAAGAGCTGGGGAAAATTTTGCAAAGTATCACTCTTTCTACCCCTTTGTTTCCCAGCCATAGAAGAGACAACACTTTGGCTGGTTGTAGGTTGAGTGTCTACACCACATCCTGCACTAACAGCCCTCTGAGGCAGTGCCTCCAGAGGATTCACCAGTGAGTTTTCCAGAAGCCATTCCATCATCTCATAAGGCCAAAAGCTGTGGATGATAAGGCGCATGACATGATCAGCCGAAATGAGTTTTGGGCACGTGATGGAATGAGCACTGGGTATTATATAAGACTGATGAATCACTGACCTCTACCTCTGAAACCAATAATACATTATATGGTAATTAACTGAATCTAAATTTAAAAAAAGAACACAGTAAAACTTGCATAGATGGGGAAATTTTAATCATATTTTCCCCACCCTCCCCAAAGGGTAGAATAACTAAATGGACTTTGAGACAATGAATTTAGGAAGAAACTATTTGCCATGCTACAAGTTTAGATGTGGAAAACTTTTCTATTCATCATTAAAGAAAAACTGGCAAACCAAAAAAAAAGGGGGGGGAAGAATAGAAAAAATGAGTTTTTGCTCAGAGGGAAAGCAAACTACAATGGCTGCTTCCAACTCCTCCCCCTCCACCCGTACCACTTACTCTTTTGCAATCCACCCTCCTCCCTCTGCCATTCTGAAGCCAGTTTAATCCACTCAGTGGTCTCACATTTGTTAACCTGGGCTAGAAAGCAGAGTCAGCTCTGACTACTGCCCTCCAACCTTTCCCTCAGTACCCACTGCTACCTACCTCCCTGCCATACTTGGTTATCACAAGACCAAGCAAATATTTCTCTGACTTCAACAACCACCCTTTCTTTTCTCATTCAGGTCCTTATTTCCTCAGTCCAAGAGCATGACAATCACTACCCAACTGATCCCAGTCTACTGTCCCCTTATCCTGCATTCTGTCTAAAACATCGAAACGAACAAGAAGATAAATAGTGAAAAAAGGTCTCCTCACATTCCTTTTCCCTAGCCACGTAGAAACAACTATGATCTCCAGGTTCTTACATATCTTTCCATAGACACACTATGCCTATGTGTGTGTGTGTGTGCGTGTGTGTGTGTGTGTACATATACGTACATAAAAATAATGTACATACGTATATACATATACATACATAAATGTATGTGTGCGTGTGTGTGTACATATTTTTCCCCTTATTCAGGTAGATGTGGTTTTATTCTACACCTAACCTAACAGCCTAAACATAAAACTTCTGCTAAGACGATTAAGAGAGAAACCAGCCTTCAGTATAATCTTTCATATTAAAACCACATTACTGTATCAGTTTTCAGTCTCATCCATATACCAGCATTATTGTGGATCTTATAATAAAAGTGAGATTCCATTGGCTTTCACCATGGCTGCCTGTTCACTCCGTAAGAAAAAATACTTACAGATATGGAGTCCTGCACTATCATTAGACACAACTTTTTTTTTTTAAGAGAGATCATGTGCAAGCAGTTGGGGGAGGGAAGGGGCAGAGGGAGATAGAATCTCAAGCAGACTCCACACCCAGCACAGGAGTCCAACGTGAGGCTCAATTTCACGACCCTGAGATCATGACCTGAGTAGATACCAAGAGTCGGATGCTTAACCAACTGAGTCACCCAGGCATCCCTTTAGACACAAATTTTTGAGCCTACTCCAATTTGAACAAGTTACACCCTCGGTCTGGTCTACAATAGTCACCCTGAACTGGATCTCCCATTTCCTGTGTATCATTTTTTTGTCTTTCGTGATTTACTCCCTCACTTTGGTGGTACATATATCCCAATAGCTTTCTGAGAAAGGATATATGGGAAATTAATTTAAAAGATTTTGTGTATCTGAGAATGTCTTTATCCTACTTCCCACTTAATTAATCATTTGCCTTGATAGGGAATTTTGGATTGGAAACTATTTCCACTGTTTTAGTTTCCAGTGTTGTTCTTGAGAAAGCTATAGAAATTCTGACTCCTGGGGCGCCTGGGTGGCTCAGTCGTTAAGCGTCTGCCTTCGGCTCAGGTCATGATCTCAGGGTCCTGGGATCGAGCCCCGCATCGGGCTCCCTGCTCAGCAGGGAAGCCTGCTTCTCCCTCTCCCACTCCCCCTGCTTGTGTTCCCTCTCTCACTCTGTCTCTCTCCGTTAAATAAATAAATAAAATCTTTAAAAAAAAAAAAAAAAGAAAGAAATTCTGACTCCTTATCTTTTTATGTGGAAGCTTTTAAGATCTATGTCCAGTGTTGCTAAATTTTGTAATGAAATGCCTATTCATCTACTGTGATTTACACTGAGGTAGCCTTTTGTATTTGAAAATGCATGTCCTTCACTCTAGGGAAATTTTCCTGAATTATTTCATTGAGTAATTTTTCTCCTCTATTTCACTGATCTTTCATTCTAGGATATGGATTCCAATGTTGGATCTCCTAGATTGATCCTCTCATTTTCTTATCTTTCTCTCCTCTTTTCCATCTTTTTGTCTTTTGTTCTATTTCTTAAAGATTTCCTCAAGTTTATCTTCCAAACTTTCTGTTGTATTCTTTTTTATTTTATTTTATTATGTTATGTTAGTCACCATACAATACATCATTAGTTTTTGATGTAGTGATCCATGATTCATTGTTTGTGTATAACACCCAGTGCTCCATGCACTACGTGCCTTCCTTAATACCTATCACCGGGCTAACCCATCCCCCCCACTCCCCTCCCCTCTAAAATCGTCTGTTTCTTGGAGTCCATAGTCTCTCATGGTTCATCTCTCCCTTCGATTTCCCCCTTCATTTTTCCCTTCCTTCTCCTAATGTCCTCCATGCTATTCCTTATGTTCCACAAATAAGTGAAACCATATGATCATAACTTTCTCTGCTTGACTTATTTCACTTAGCATAATCTCCTCCAGTCCCATCCATGTTGATGTAAAAGTCAGGTATTCATCCTTTCTGATGGCTGAGTAATATTCCATTGTATATATGGACCACCTCTTCTTTATCCATTCATCTGTTGAAGGGCATCTCGGCTCTTTCCACAGTTTGGCTATTGCGGACATTTCTGCTATGAACATTGGGGTGCATATGGCCCTTCTTTTCACTACATCTGTGTCTTTGGGGTAAATACCCAGGAGTGCAATTACTAGATCATAGGGTAGCCCTAAAGTGGTGTGGAGTGGGAAAGTAGAACTCAGCTATAACTTACTATCAAACGAATTTTACCCAGTCTTCCTTATTTTGGCCCTTATCTTTCCACCCAAACTGCACCCTCAGTTGGTTCTCAATCCTGCCAGTTCCTGAGGCTTTTGGTGATTCTGGAGTATAAACTGGATTGTTTCTTGGGTTTCTGCACTGACAGGTAAGACTTGGCTGTCCTGCCTTATTAAGTTAATTACCACTCATCCATCTATTTTTCAGACTCCAAACTGTCATCTTCTTTCCTATTTTTGTACTGTTAAGTTTTTCCACTTAAATTAAAAAATTTTTTTTTCTTTAGTTTTAGTGGAATTTCAGAAGGTAATGGAATTAGATGTGTGTATTTAACCTACCATTGTACCTGGAACTCCATTCTAGGACTCTACCATTGAGGGCCTTCAGTCTAACATCCAAAGTCATCAACAGTGTGACTTGAAACTAACTCAGCTCTTTACCAATCTTATTTTTCCCCTCTCCTCATCATATTGGAAAACCATGCTACTGCGAGATTTAGCTACTAATAGTTTCTGAAATATACCCTGTTATTATCCAGGTTGTTTCCATTTATGCTATTCTGCATCTCTGGAATATTTTCCCCCATCTTCCTCTGTTTATTGGACTCTTGT